TACAAAGTATAAGACGCGATTTTGACGATTGCTGGCACTGAGCGGTGAAGTGTTTTCGGGATATTTTGAGATTCTTCGAATGTTTGGAGCTGGGTAAGAAGCTCTACAAGTTATTTGCCCCAAAGTATAGTATAGTATATCAGAACTGTTGCTGTGAAATTTCTTCGCATCGACCCAATATCAAGAGCCTGCCCAAGGACGTTCCCGAAGTTGCGACTCCGCACAGCGACTCTTTATTCCCTCTTCCATTCGTCGAAACATTTTCGCTGCTCTCAAGATATGTACACATCTGTAGTATTACAACAAGTGGAATTTTGGGAATTGCGCACACTCAGATGATTGCGCAATCACCCGGAAGAGTACCACTCACAGAAATGGAGCAGGCGTGGTTGACCTCGCTTTTGATCTTAGGATCTGCTTGGAGCAGTCCGAGACAAATCGACTGACAAAATACAGAAAGTTTCTGCGCGAGCTCGAGGCGCGACACATCTCTCCACGTTTTAAATCAATCGGTGATGTTTTCGAGGCGTGCTTCCACGACATCCGGTAGACGTTCCTATGGGGAGATGTTAGAGGGTGGGATCTCAGAAAGCTTTCACACCTATGTGGATGCTCTGAATTGAGCCCTTCAGAAGGCGTTGGACGACATCTACCGGCTACCTAAGGCGCACTGTTTCTTTTGCCGTTGGACGTCAGAAGACCTCTGTCAAAGTAGCCGTCGAACTCAGAAGATTTTTTGTTCTGGTAATAAGTTATCACAAAGCCTAACTCCATCTTTCCCTGGAGATGGTTTGTTACCTTCTCGACTTTACGCTCAAAAACATGACGTCTTACACTTTTCAGCCACACTGTATTTGTAATATATATACAATATACATAATATATGTACATATATAATACACATGCTATTACATGCTATTGCTAAGATATACATATACAGTGCCTACCAAAAGTATCTCTTAGAAACTGTCGACTGACCGCACCCCAAGACCACTACCGTTCAATTTATCGTATGTAAAAACCTTAGAATTCCCCATTTCTCACCAATTTACATGCAGCTTTAATCTTTTTTTATTTGAAGAAGTTTTGTTTTGATTTGAGGAAAATTCACTCCACCCTATATGAAAAGTATGTGAACTTTTCAGAAAACAGCAATACCTCCAGAATCTTAAATCGG